GTTAATTTTATAAATAAATTTTATTTTATCTGTTACGAAAGGCCAAATTTAAATATACCCCGAAGCAGTAGAAAGATAATAAAACAGGTTTCATTTAAAAACAATAGACTTTGATATCGTATAATTATTCTCTGTGATAATAATCAGTATGTAAATACAATTATGCAAATTGTCAAAACAAAAAAAAATTTGTAAATTAATTTTTAAAATAAAAACTAATAAACTGCGTGTATTACGGTATTTAAATAAAGAATTAATGCAATTAAATTAATGTAGACAACTACCCTGGTTATTTGGCAGCTTGATTAGAAATCATCTCGATATTAAAGCTACATTTTTACAATGTCAACTTAAAAACCCGAAAAGTACGTTTAGCCATTAGATTTTAAGCCAAGTGAGTAAAATTTTTTTGATTGACTTAAGTGAAGTGTGTTTAAAGTCAAGTGCCGTTTATATGGAAATAAAATAAACTTCAACTGAGAGAACTCTGCTTAGCGAACTATAAAATTTTCAGAAGAGAAACAAATGACATCAAAATTAAGATTAATATACTGACGTAGCAGATCTCTCTTTTTATGTCACATACTCTTCAGTTGTTTTGAAGGAGCGACTTTTTTCGTTGCTCTTTTTTTATATAGTTTTTTGAAATGTCAAAAAAAGTTATTTTTTAGTAATTCAACTTTCAGAGCCAATAAAGTGACTTTATTCGTAGGTATGAGAGAAAACTCTCCCACGGTTATGTTAATGTAGATAATTTCACTTTTGATCAATCATTATGTAGATGTTCTTAAAAACAAAATTCACTTCCGTATAAATTACAAATTATATTGCCGCAGTAGGATCCTTCTTCTTTTTTTTTCATTTTTGTACAGCGAAAATTGTATTTGTAATGGCCTTGTTTAACCAAATAAGATAGAAAGAAAAAAAAATATAAACGAACAAATTTTACGAGGCTTGAAATTATTTTCGTTCTTTTTTTTTGATATTTTTTGAGGTTTTTTATCCAATTGACTTTTTTTTGTTATTTTATTTTGTAATTATGTACGTACTGCTTTTACTTTTGTTCTTCATAAATCTTTCATTTTTCAATTTCCTTTTGAATCCTTTTTAATAATTTGTCTATACCAAGAAATCAACAACAACAAAAATATTACGAAATAAATAAAGGTGGAATTAAAACAAATCTATGCAATAAAAAAAAGGATTAGAGCGGAAAAAACGTTGAAATTTTTTGAATAACTGAAAACATTAGCGGAAAATTTCTATGATTTTGTTTTTTTTTCTTGTTGTGTCTTTGTTAAAATTGCGTATCAACAAAATTTATGCAATAATGCCTATATTTTGACTTCTAACTGAGTTCTTTTGACTTGTTTATTTTGGAATATTTAATAACTAAACGGGAAGTTGTCATGAAAGGATTTTTGATATTTTGGTTTTTTTTTTGGTTGAAGTTGTTATTGTTTATGCAACTCATATGTTGTGCCTCTCTTACAGCGTTTAGTGGTAAAACAGAAAAAGAATAGAAGCAAAACCGTAAAAGATTGCCTAGAAATTTGAGTTTAAACGCAAAATATATGCTTCATGGATTTCAAAGATGGCATCAATATAAATATTAAACTTTAAATATTCAATATAATAAAATTTGACAAATGTTTTGTATCGGCCTTCATTTTGTACTAGCATTCATTTTGGCAAGTTCGGTAACAAGAACTATAAATTTTAAAGAGCAACCTATGTAATTGAACCATAATCGTAAATATTACGAAATGCTCGAAATGCAACAGTTCGTCTAGATAAAATTTTATTTTTTGTTCTGAAAATTACCACTAGGTATTATTCGCTTGACATGCTTTTTCCAAATAAAAGACATATGACCGTATTATTATCGTATTTATTAACATTTTAACCATTTAACGTTCTAGACGGGAAAGTGCAAAACAAATCTTTAGTGCAAATTTTTAATGTTTGCGCTTCATAACTTACACCTTGACTAATATTTTTGTGTTATAAAAAAGGCAAGCTACAACCTAATAAAAATCGGCTGCAAGACTGAAAGCTATACTATTTGGCTTATCACTTAATTCTGTATTTTGTTTTGTTTATTTTTTCTTTTTTCAAATTTCTTATCAACTTAAAATTTAATTTTAGCTAAAAATTACTTTGTATATTTTTTTTTATTTACTTGTTTTAAACAAAGAGAGTATAAACACACACAAAAAGCTATGGGAATAAAAACAAAAAAATTTTAACTGGGTTTTTTGCATATAAAAATTTCGTTTTTTTTGTTTTTGTATTTATTTTCTTTGTTATCGCCTCTGTGTTGGCCTATACGTCTGTTTCAGTGTTTCAAATTCAATACTATAAGAGCTTGTATACTCGTATATAGTCGCACTTTTGCTGACGTAAAATTTTACTAGGAATAAAAATTTTTTGAATTTATAATCTTAATACACTAAATGAGTAATTTTTTTCTCTGAATATAAATACCAACATGTATATACATATACTAAGGTATACCGTAACTTCCAAAATGCAGTAATTACAGTTTCACTACAGAAAGTTTTGTACTTTGCTGTAAAAATTTTACACCAAAATACAAAGCAGTTATACTACATTCTGGACTAGATTTCTGTAGTAACTATACAACAGTTAAAAACTACTTTTTTTTTGTTGTTGTGACAAATGTCATATTAGAAGTTACTTTAAACAAAAATGTTAGAAAGAAGATTTGGTGACATTAGTTTGATGTGTACGCAAAAAGCAGCAAACTTTTTTCGGTTGCTCGCTCTCACTCTCTCTCTGTGTAGTAACTACTCAAATTCTGGATTTTGATTGAGACTGCATTTTATATAATTCTTTTCTCCTGCATTCTGGATTAGCAATACATCGTAGTTATACTTTTATACTGCATTTTGGAAGTAACGGATAGCTCCATTTTCGACTGTAAATATATATACATATACATACAACATATTGCGTATGCGTGTATGTATGTATGTATATCTACCTCTATATATAAATTTTTTTGTTTTTAATTTTTAATTTTAATTGCTTCCGTAACAAGAAATGTGTTTGTAATTTTGATTTCCATTCCTAAATTAAATTTTTTCGTATTTATTTCGTAATTTTAGTTTGTAAATTCAAAATTAAGTGTTTTTTAGTAATTTTTTATAAAATAAAAATAGAAAAATTATAATATGTTCACCTGTACTTGAGCGGATTAAAGTGAAATTCAATAAATTAAATTTTAATTTTTGATTAAAATAATTATTTTGAAGTAGATCAAAATATAAAACAAGTAGAATTTAATAAAAAAAATTATACAGAAAAAAAAATAAATAAAAAATTTTTGTATTGCTACTTTTTATAATACATATTTTACACATGTATTTATTTATGCATACATTAAATGTATATGTATGTATGTGTTATGTGAGAATAACAAATTTTTATCAACAAGCAAAATTTTTTTGGGGAACATTTACATTTAATACTTTAATTTGTTGAAAAAATAATTAATATAATCAATATAAATCATATGTATGGGTGAATTTTATACAGTAGATGTGATAACAATGCGAATGTGTTCATACACCCGATTATAGAGAGCGCTTTAAATATAATCAAAATTAATTGTAATTTTATTATTTAACGCCGCCGTATATCAAAAATAATTTAAGCCGTTTGAACATAACCAATGATTCAATAATAATAATAATTTTGATAAACAATGCTTATTTTGAAAGAATTTTAATAGAAATTAAAAAAAAAAACAAAATTATAATACAATAATAATTTAATTTGGTATGTCAATTTCCAAAGACATTTCTGCGTTTTCTAGTAGCAAAGTGAAATTTGAATATTTAAATTATATTGTGCTTAAATTTTTAAATATTAAGTGCAAATCAATATTTCCCGCGTATTTTACGCATTGTTAATTAATGCACATAGCATTTAATAAGAAATTTAATCTTTGAAGTACGAGGTGAAATTTTTAATAATTTCGTCGAGTTGGTACTAGTTATTAGACCTCTCTCCCAATTTCTTCGCACGATAACAAAATTAACACTAAGTAAAAACAGTTTAACAGAGAATATGTACATAGAATATGAAAGTGTGAGAGAGAAATATAAGGAAGTAATTACAAAAGAAAAAGCGGAAGGTGTAAAATTTACTGCCAACTAAATTTACTACGTTCGTTAAAGGTTAAATCCTATAATCAGCCCTAATTAACCACAAAATTATTTGAAAATTTTTATTTAATTTTTTATTAGATTTAAATCTATTGCCTTTTTATAAAATATAATATAAGCGAAATAATGAAAAATAGTTAATTAAAACAAATTTTTGACATTATTCCATCAAAAATTGGAATTTCACCGCCCGCGTTTTAGGTTTACTAAACACAATATTACTGCATAATATCGACTAAAAAGTTCTTATAGTCAAATTGAATAGTAATATTATTGAACCTTCAATGTCAGGGTTCAATCCATAACAGTTAAATATAAAATAATTTAAATAATAAATTTATTACCATCAATATTAAGTTAAAGGTCTTCAGACTAACAACATTTTAAAAACTTTGTAGTCTGTCATTTAAATTAAACATGCCCCCTCTGCACTTTATAATATTAATTAATAATTTTCACATTAATTTTCCCTCATTGTTAATTATAATAAAGACTTAAAAATAAAATTGATGCTGTTGTTTATTTGTCAAACAGTTACAATAGGTGTTGACAAGAAAATTCTAAATTAAATGGAACTTCGAATCAAAAGATGGTCACAAGTTGTTGCAACTAATTCATCAGATAATTGCATTCTTGTTAAATATGTCACTCATGCCGATAATATAAATTTGAACTACGAAGAATATGTAAATTTTTTTTTTTATTAATTTTATTGTCATTGCAATTTTATAAGTTTTAAACTGTTTTGTATTAATTTCACATATTGCACAATAATTAATTCAAAAATAAATTTTGTTTTTCTTTCAGAAAAATAAAGAATTAATGAATGACATTATAACAAATTGTAAATTAAAGAATGGAAAAAATGGTAAGTAAAAATTTATGAAAAATTAAAAAATAATTTAGTGAAATTGTTTAAATCAGTGACAGTCGAAACTAACAAAAATTCCAAGTTTTAAGAAATTAGTTTAAGTACGTCTATAGATAAGAACCTCATCGAGCAATATCGGGTGAATATATGAGAGTTGTTCAACTCAGTGAGGGCATGTCAAAGTGTCTTCACATCGATATATTACAATATATGATACATGTGTACACTTTAATAGGATGATATCGGAGGCAAGATTTAGTAGTAGAACTATACCTTAGCACTGTTAAAATCGAATAGGCGCGCTGCCATTGTAATATCCGAAGTAATAGAAGACTCTTGATTGACTTAATAAGCTAGAACCAGGTATACAATCGACAGCCTGGAAGTCAGTTTAGTACTGGACAGCCTTGGTAGATAACAGTTAAGTTTTTTAAAAGCACGTCTCTTTTAAAAAAAAATTTATTTGTAAAAATTAGATGTGGGGGAGGGAGGGCACAAAATTCTTTCCTTAAATCATGGTGGAGAAAGCATCAATCAATATCTCACTTAAAATAAAACATTAAGTTTTAAATTAAAATGAAATTAAAGTACACATATTTTAATTTTTCTATATAGGTTTTGGTACAAACGTAACACCAGCACAAGTTCCAACATCGCCAACGAAAAGGCCTTTAAGTCCGGATCACCCTAATCCGGCATTACCTATTACAGAGGTAAGTTTCTATTGTATTATAAGTATAAGAAATTCCTTTATTTCCGTTTTTTTTTTTTTTTTAATTTTTACAGAATCCTAGTCCTGCAATGTCTCGTATTGGATGGGCATTAAGAACGTTACTTGTTTCAGATAGTTCCAGTTGTCTTAAGGACAGAAAGGTAAGAGCAAACAAAAAAATTTAAGCAAAAAAAAAAATAAGTATAATATTTTGTTTCTATATTCACGTCAAAACAGCACGTCATGTTTTAAAGTTCACTTAAATTGACTTACAGTAACTGTTCAATATAAATACAATGAATGAAATAATTTTTCCTTTTCTTGAAAATTTACTTTGCTCATAAATTTTATAAGTTCGTGTAAAATTAAGTCTACTTATAGGCTATATTTTATGGCAAGTTATTACCCTTAACATTTAACGATCTAGGTTCATTTGAATTTCCCTGTTCCCCTAAAAGTAGGCAACAATAATATTTTCGTTCAGCCCAGAGCAATACATAATTTTCTCAAAAACCAGAAAAATTCTATTTAATATCGCTTTATTCTCTATTCCGTTTGTAGATAGGTGTTGTGTATATAATCCCAAATTAATAATCAACTTAAATTATTTAGTAAAGATATAGGTTTATAAATTTCAATTCGAATACACAAAAGGTACTGGATAAAAATATGAAAAATATTACGTTTCATAACATCTATAACATAACAGGTTGTGTTTTTATTTTTGACACACCACGTTCCTCACAGTTATCAACTTTATGTTTAATTTTCAACATTTTACCATAAATAGACTGGCCCCGAGCAACTTTTACTCGTATAACGCAAATTATTAATAATTTAAAAATATTTACTTAATGTCTTAAAATTATTTATTTCGATATCCGAGAAAAATTTGATCAAATTCATTTTTAATATTAAAAAACAAATCTTTCAAAAAATCACCCACTATTCAAGAGCATAAAAATTGATTTTGAATAACTTAATCGCAAAACGTAAATCCTGGAAACAATGCAAACATAATTATAATTTAATTTCATGAAAATTGATCTGATGAAGCAAATTCAATCGGAGATGATATTAATTCCAAATAAATTATTAAAATTAATTAATTATGATAGGACCAACTTTATTTTTAAATTGAAATATAAGAATTTTTAAAATCAATTATGTATCGTTCGTCATTAAAAAAATTATATTATGAAAAAATGAAATATAATACAATAGCAATAATGTTATATACATACATATACATATATTTTATAATGGACATATTATAAAATTAAAAATTATAATTGGTTATCGTTCATAATACGAAAATTATTAAATTTCATTTAATTTTATGATTATTTTCTCAATTATTTAGAAGAAGAAATCGAAAAATGGTTTTCCACCAAATGGGAAATTTTGTTTCTTCTCTTCCTGTTTTTGTGTCTCATAACGTGGTGGTGGTTGAAAAAAACTTACAAATGGCGTTTGTTGATTTTCCTTATCGCTTTGGGAAACATCTTTAGGAGAAACTTGTTGTTGTGAATTCAGATCAGATTTCAAAGGAGATCCAAATATATTAAATATGTCAAATATTGATGACGTTTTTGATTTTTCTTCTTTCATTGGTGAATCAGATAAATCAATTATGAATGTAATTGGTTCTTGCTGTTGTTTTGGTTCTTTTGCTATATCAAAAACTAGCGGGAATTCCTGTTGCTGCTGAACTTTTTGTGTTTGAGCTGAAGGAAACAATATATCGAATATTGATGGAGTTTTCTCCTTTTCTTGTTTAGGTTTTTCAAAAATATCAAATATAGATGGTGCTGGTTTTGCTTCTGGTTTAAATTGTTGTGGTTCTGAAAAAGGTATGAAAAAGATGTCCGAAAATATTGGTTTGTTTGAATTTTGCTGTTTGGGCTCTTCAAACATATTAAATATAGATGCCGCTGGCTTTGCATCTTGTTTAAATTGTTGTGGTTCTGAAAACGGTATGAAAAAGATGTCTGAAAATATTGGTTTGTTCGAATTTTGTTGTTTGGGCTCTTCGAACATATTAAATATAGATGGAGCTGGTTTTGCTTCTTGTATTACTTGTTGTGGTTCCGAAAACGGTATGAAAAAGATGTCTGAAAAAATTGGTTTTCTTGAGCTTTGCCGTTTGGGCTCGTCAAATATATTAAATGTTGATGCCGGTTTTTGTGATTGTGCGGGAAAAGAAGGCGAAAAAAGTATATCAAATATTGATGGTGTTTTTTTATTTTCTTTTTTGGGTTCTTCAAAAATTTCTTGCTTTTTTTCTGGCACTGGTGGTAAAAAAAGAATGTCAAAAATGGACATTTCATCACATGGTACCTCATTATTATTGAAAATTTCATTTGGTTCAAAGAATATAATAGTTTCTGTAACATCCGGTACAAAATTGAATTTATTTAGGGGATTCTTTGGAAATTTATTTTTTCTAAATTTTTTCTTTGAATTCCTTTGTTTTTGTTTTAATTTTCTTAAACGATTTTCTAAATTGCGTATACGATTATTTTTCTGTTTTAATAATCTTTTCATTCTTAGATTACCAGCATGCCTATTTGATTTCATCAAATTATCAAGTTCAAGTTTTAAATCAATATTAAAATCTAAATCAATTTTTTGCGGTTCAGATTCTAAACACTCAGGTTGTGAAACATCTTTTTTGATTTCCTCAACTACTGGTACAACTTCCGGCACAACTGGTTTTTCATTAGGAATAGGTTGAGATAATAAAAATAAAAGTGTTGGGAAAAATGAGTCAACAAATGGATCACCAGTGCTTCCAATATTTTTAACTAAATCTTTTGTTTTAATTTCAACATCGCTTTCTTTATCATTCTCCACGTCAAATGGAAAAACTTTCATATCATCATCATCTTCACTAACGTCATAATATAACTTATCTACGTTCTCTTCATTTTCAGGTTGTTTCTCTTCTTCGATAATTTTATCATTTTCATTCTCCTCGGTTAATGGTACAAATTTAATATCATCTGGATGAATGAAACTTCCTGGCAATATTGATCTAGGATGAAGTTGTGGTGATTTACTTTTATGTGCTGAAATCTTTTAAAAATTAAATTTATAAACTGTGTTATTGTTTTCTTCTTTTTTTAATCGAGAAATGTATTCGATTTTCGAAACTTACGGCACCGAAGAATAGTAAACAAACTACTGTTTTTAACAGGAGCATTTTTTACATTATATTTTTTAATATCGATTTCAATTATTATTATTTATGTCCTTAATGCCACGAAATGCTAAATGAAACTGAAGGTTTTTTGAAAAAATTATAAAAAATAGTTAATAAATTTTAAAACACAGGTTTTTCCCAAAAGACTCAGTAGGTTTCCTCGCTGAAATAACTGTATGTATACTAATTAAAATTTCAAATAATGAAACAGCCTTTTTTTTTTAATATACTATGATCTCATTATTTTCGATACATTGTAAATAATTTAAAGCTATTTATTCTCGTTAAGACAAAACAACTTAAACCAGTCACATTAATATTTATTCAACTGTGTCAATAAGTCCATGATGTTCCAAATATTCTTATAAATTTAAAAAAAAAAAGTTTAAATTATAAAATTCTAGTTTATATTGTAACTTAAAATTAATGTTAAAGTATTTTATGAAAATATTTAATTAATTATTTTTGAAATCAAAGTTATGATTCAATTTTATTTTCGAAAGTTCTTACTGCCAGTAAAAATTCTAAGGCGATTCTTATTTCGTTCTTAAGGGATGGCTGCAGACCAAGAATTATCACTAATTTTTCCTGAAATTTTCTGAAATTTTTTTGACAAATGAAACTCGAAAAATAAAAGAAACTACTCATTTCCTCAAAGTATTTAACTAAAGGCTAATCAACTTAATGCCGCAAGTTCTATTTAATTGACAACACTGATCTCTACTCTCCAATATGTCACGAACTCTCCTTGTTGATAATTAAGTTCTATTTGATATAAAGCGTTGATCAACTACTCACCAATATGTCACAAATTCTCCCCGTGATATGTCAAACGTGAAAATTTTGACATTTCCTCTATATAAAAATTATTTCGTACAGATTCAATAGTTAGTCGAACATTAAATAATATACATATGTATGTATGTATATTGAGACGAAAATAAATACATACTAGAAATTTCTACATTCTTTAAAGTTTTTATTTAATTTGACGTTTATTAATATTTAAATAGGTGAATATTCAAAAATAACACGTATTTATGATTTTTTTTTCCTAAATTTCGCATTTGAGAAGAATTTTATTTTACTTACTCTAATTTATTTCGATTGTTTAATTTAATAAAAACAGACAAATTGTGTTTGAAAAATTTGGATAATTTTTTATGATGAAATAAATTTAAAATTTGAAACATTGGTACCATATCAAATTCAAACTGAATTTCGCTTTAATTTATAATGCTCATACGTATTTTCTAATTTAATCCGAAATGGATTTAGAGAATAATAAACTTTCAGGTCAATTTACTTATATCAAAATAGCTATGTATGTATTTATGTACACCTAAAAGAACACATTTTCCTTAAAACAATAAAATATACACAAAAATGTAATTTGGCAACAACCAATGCATATACATCATGCATATTATACAGACGTATGTCAAAACAAATGTTAAAACTTGTATGTGTCGCACATAGTAATCTCTTTTCTTGCAATGTTTTTACTTTGTATCGAAAAATTTGAAAAAGTAAATAATCCTGTTACAAAATTTCATCTAAATGGATTGATAAAAGTTTCATAATGACAAAACACAAAACATTGTTACCATACATACAATATTCAAAGACAAATTCTTCGAAATTGTCAAAAACTGATTGCTGTCGTTTTAGAAACAAAATAAATAAATATTTTTATACTTCAATAATTTTTCTTAATCTTTATTCAAATACAACTAATTTTAACAAAAAATATAATTATTGTTTATTTCTTTTTTCTTTCTGTCGCTCTTTGTTGCTCTTAACTCTCCACTGAACTAATTTTCAACATTTTTGAACAACAACAACAAAAACATCAATAATGAATAAAATAATAAAATAAAAAAACAAAAACGTAAAATTAAAAGGTGTCCGGAAAATTAATTAGAAAATGTGCTCCGGGTACCGAATTAGTTGACTGGCTTTTAAATTTGTCACCAATTGTACATACAAGAGCTCAAGCGGCTGGAATGTGGCAAGCTCTTTTAGAAGAAGGAATTTTAGCTCATGGTAAGAATTTTAAAATTTTTTCAAAACAAAATCCTGATCTATCATCAACTTCATTTACAATTTTAATTCTGAATAAGTGAGATTGATACATGTTAGATTTACTTGTTTAATTGTCTGCTTATAGTTTTTTATAATTTTATATTGATTTAAAATTTTGTTTATTTTATATTTTTTTTATATAACAGTAAATAAAGAACAACCGTTTAAGGATAAATGCTTCTTGTATAGATTTCGTGCTGATGAAGAAGGTACAGCTGGTGGACCACCACAATCAGATGATGTTAATTCTGCTAATGATCATGTTAGAGAAGCTTTAGGTACACTATTGCAACGCGGACCCGATTCAACATTACGAATGATTTTAAGGAAACCGTATGTATTATTTCTATTCATAATTTTATATTATAAGAAAACAAAATTTTTAGTGGCACACATATGTATTTTAAGTTCCGTCTTCTATTTTGGAAATAACTTCAATGAATTTGATATGAGACATTTAAAGAATTGCAAATAAGGATTGCAAATATGCAAAAAATCTTTTCTTAATTCTTTCTAGATTAAAATCTTAACAGATTAGAATCTGTTTCCTAATTGAACTGAAGCTTCTAATATAGCTACACTCCAAACATGGAGAAACATGGAGAGTATCGATTTGACGGTTGTACCTCTTATGAACAAAGTTAATTAGCCCTCCGATAAAAAAAACACCCGTTATTTTTAGTAACGAATTATTCAAAACATTTTAGGGTTTTTCATTTTTAATATTTTATCAACTCAACTGCTCAATATCAAACAGTTACACTACTCAATTATAATAGAAAATTCTTAAAATATTTTTTTTTGCAAACTGCTTTATTTTCAACTTCAACAAACATCAATAAAAATTAGACGTGTTAGAATTCATCAAGAATTTAAAAAAACAAAAAATTTTTTTTTTGTATTTTGAGATCTTTGAAGAAAAAAAATAATTTGCCATACTTTTTCGTTGTTTACACTTTTGAATGATATTTAAATATTTAAAGATTTAAAAGTGTACCAAAATATAAAAAAAAAAATATGTTTTGTTGTATGAATACAAAATTTACCTTGAATTTTTTTTTCTCCACACTAACATTTCATACCGATTTATAAATAATTTAAATCCTCGATTTTGTTTTTTTTTCCAAAATAAACGTTTCAGGAACTTTCCGAGAAAATTTTGTTTCATACTGGAAAATGTATAAATATAAACCGAAAAATCTTTTGAACGTGAATCCTCTTGAGATTTATTCCAACATATTATATTCAATTTTTAGTCTCGTCTTATGAAATTTTATTAATATTCATAACGCAGATGTCTCTTATGCTAAATTTAAACGTACACATTACGTACTAAAGGGAAAATTTTTTTGATATTCTTTTGAAGAAAAGAGAGAATTGTAAAAACAACGAAAAATCTTTATTGAGCGCGATTTTACAAAAAAAATTTTTGTTCAAATTTATGCATTTTAATAATTAAAATCAAATTATTTATTTAATTTAAATTTTTTATATTATTTTAAATTTCTAAGATTTTAAATTTTTCTTTCATCTGCCTTTTGTATTTTCTGTGTTAAATAAATTTAACTCAAAATTTCTAATTGACAATTTTTGCAAACAATTTAAAAAATCTTTAATATTTTCTAATACTTTACTACATTATCGTAAAAGTTTACTATCAAGAAAGAAAATGTGAAGTTATAGGGTGATTCATCGGATTTCTAAAGCACACTGTTCTATGACATTTTTCATTCTTAGCATTTTCCACAAAAAATTAGAAAAAAAAAGTGCTTATTAGTTTCACTCTGTCTGTTCTGTCTTGAGTGCTTGTTAGTCCTCTCTGTTTCCATTTACATTACATTTCAAATACATTTTAAATTTTACAACTACATAAAACGTAATAGGTGGATTCTTTTATTGCAACATAACATAGTTCAGTATGAAAATAACAAAATAGTCGTTAAAATTAACCATTATCTGAAATTCGTTTTTTTTTTGTCAAATTTTTAATACAGCTTTTTTTCTAGTCGAAAAGTTATAGAAATCGGAATTTAGCAGCTTTTAGCTACTAATAAATAGTTTATATTGATAGAAGACGATATTTTTTCCACCTCCATCCCCTCTCATATTATCGCCTCTAGAAATTTATAAAATTTGAATTTAACGTGCCGATTATATTTTTTCCAAACTTCAAATTTTTTCAAAATTTTTACAAAAGCAGAGATACCATCAAAAAATATAATTATTTGCCTTAACTCACGCAATCAACCCATGAAATCGACAATTATATTAATGCCTCTTTAAATTTTTCTTGTTTTTTAATGGTTTCATCCTAAATGTATGCAATTATTTAAAATATTTCAAAATTGTATATGAATGCATTTGCATTCTACCTGATAATTGTATATGAATGCATTTGCATTCTATAAAATAGTGCTTCAACTACCTATACTAAATTATTTAATTTGATTTTTGATAATTTTATTAGCATATTTTAGGCAAAAAAAACATTCTTAATATAGTTTTCTGTCTACACCGCTGTTCCAGTACATGGGGTAGTATAGACGGAGATGTTACACTTTAATAATCTTTTAACACATTTCATTTCACTTTTTCAAATTCTCTTAAATTTTATTTAAACATTAAATTCTTTTTCTGTATCTTATACACATTCTATATACAGACGACTTTTACAAAAAAGGGAATACACAACAAGGATAACAATATAATAATAAAAAAAACAAAAAAGATCAACATTTGTACGAATTAAATTAAAGTCAATCCTTTTTGTTGTGTGTACCATATGCAAATATATACAAAGGCACAATATTTTTCTTTCCCTTAACTTCATCATTTATTGTTGAAATATTAATGAAAAATTTCCCATTATCTTTGATTTTACTATGATTCCTTTATATGTATATAATTTTGTTCCAGAATACAATTCTCATTCTAATGTCGTATAGATAGAAAACTGTTCTGTTGTCTTAACATACACACATATACATTAACATTTATATAGGTACAACCTAATTTAATCATTAAAAGGATATGTTTCCAAAGTTATCGTGCTTTTCTTTAAATACTCAAGAATCATAAGTATACTTCTGAGATACATATATTAAAAGTATCTCTCTATTCATATTTGCGTTGCTTATTCCTTAAAGAAAAAACAAAAAAACAAAAAAAAAATAAGAGAAACTGAAGGAAAACATATTTTTCTTTTAGTTATTCATCATATTTCCTGGAAAATACCGACATATTTCTTTTATACAATATTTTCAACTTCATAGTATTATAAAATTTTGTATACTAAAATTTTTTAGATCCTTAAGATTTCTTTTCTATTTAAAGCGTTGAAAGGGACATAACAATCTTTATTTACTTACATTTTATATGGAGTCTATAATATTTTATTTACCCACAACAGATTACTTCTCTAGAAACTTAACCATTACTTTTGCATGGGCATCAGAATTTTTTTGTGAATAGGAGACTGGAGAAAACAAAATATTACAAACTATATTGAGTTACCTGGTGTTCCTATAATAAAATTAAATTATTAATTTAGTTTTAATAATTTTTTTTCTTTCTTCCTTTTTAAAAGATGACAGGACAATTAATTATTATAATAAAAAATGTTTTCATAAAACTCCATTTTTACAATATTGTATGAAATTTAAGATTTTCATACGAAACAATGAAAAAATTTAAGTTTTCCACGGTTTCTGATTAAAGGATAATATGTAGAATTTTTCAATTACCGTTCCGACTAACTTCTAATTGGCATTATTGATAGAAATTATGACTATCTTTTCATTACTTCCATTGAATCTATAGAAGAGTCATTAGAAACAGCTAACCGACAGTTTTTTCTTTTAATTTTTGGTAACTTTAGAAGGCGTTCAGTTCTTCTTGTCTGTGTAAGAATTTCTGCTTTAAAATAAATTGCCTTTTTTGAAATAGTAAATTAGTGAAATAAAAATAGATTTTTGAAAGTAGTTTGCGCTATTATCTTAAAGAAATGCAAATATCATTAGGGAAAAACTATAATGAGTAACCATACACATTTGCACTAAAGATATTATCACTCCACACTCATTTTCTCTTAATATTTATTATAAGGTCACATGAACGAAGTCAAGAAGAATTAGAATTGGTATTTGAAGAACTTTTACATATTGCTGCACTATCACATTTATCAACAAGCATTAAAAGAGAATTGGCCTCAATAATTGTGTTCGAATCCCATGCACAAGCTGGTACAATATGTAAGTATAAAATTGGTATTTCTATAATCACATTTATTCTCATTTTCTAAAACAAATTTCTAGGGAACCCTATATAATATTAATTAAAATTTTTATTAATATCTTGTAGTATAATTGTTAAGTTCATATTATTAACATACTCGTATATACATATACATATATGTATATGTAAAACAAGTAAAATATTAATTAATTAGATTTAACAATATTTTATTAAGAAATCTGTTCAGTAATTTACTAATTATGAATGGCTACCTGAATTAAACCATATACATATATATTTCGGAAAATTATATGAAATGTAAATGATAAAAATTGTTTTTTCTTATTAATTTCTCTTATATAGTGTTTAATCAAGGAGATGAAGGTCGATCATGGTATATTATATTAAAGGGATCCGTTGACGTTGTTATACATGGTAAAGGAACTGTTGCTACATTAAAGGATGGTGATGATTTTGGAAAACTTGCATTGATTAATGATGCACCAAGGTAAAATTAATGTTTATCATACAAGGTCTCAATAATTGCAATTTTAATTAGTTTGGGAGGGAAGAGAGAAATTTGTAAATATGAAAAACGTACATCTATCGCTTTAAATAGACGCATAAAGTTACGAAAGTACAAACAGAAACACAGACGGAACAAAAAATTATTATTAAGCAAAATTTTTTTCAAAATTTTAAAAATGCAAATAACAAATTCAAGAATTTTAACTTTTAACACGTAATAAAACCACAAAGTTGTTGCAAACTAAATGAAACAAAATTTAGTACAAAAAGATTTTTTAAACATTATGAATGCTTTATCATTCTTAAAAAAGACTCTTTTAAGAATACTTAAGCATCGAGCTAGTTGTTAGTCTTTACATCCTTTACATTGCATGATAACAATTTGCATAAAAATGCATTCAACATTGTTAAGAAAAATACACACTTGAATAATAAAGTGTTGCAAAAAATTTTGTATAAAATATGCAACACCCTAATGACCTACTTATTTATATATAAATTACTCTGTTTAATTGTATACAGTCCTTAACTTAATATAATTGTTGTGACACCTTTAAGCATGAACAGAAAATTCTTCCTTCATTTATTAAAAAAAAAAAAAAAGTTGAAGTACACTTCCCAAATGGAAGGAAATAAATAACAACATATTATTTTGGTAGTACTTAACCAGTGTCCGCCTAATTTCGACGCCGTCGCGTAAATTCAACTTCACACTTTCTCACAGCTAATGCGTTCGCACATTCTTTTGAATTTCTCTTTGTCCTGCCATGTCACCAAAATAAGCTTAAGGCTGTTTGAAAACGCCAGCTCATGCACAACCACCAGTCAATTTTAAAACAGATTAGAGTTTATGTTATTGGCACAACCAATAGAGCCATCCTACTTTTTACTATCTCTTGCTTACTGGTATTCCTATGGAAAATTTCTTTCAGACAAGATTTAACAACACATATCTCCACTCCACAGCATTCATTCATATCAACTCCTCGTCTTTCTGCAGTTTTATCTATAACAGTACCCTTTATATTTACCGGTATGGTTTGTTTATCTATAACAGTACCCTTTATATTTAACCATACCGGTTTGTTACCTAAATGAAATGTTTCGAAGTAACTCTGATTTTAATTTTTGTATCTTATTAGAAAGTAAAACTTGTAATAATTGTTTTAACAAATATTATCATGTTTATACACACTTTAACATTTGGCTTATGTAAAGATTGGTGGCGGGTTCTATTAGTCCCGCATACGTCATATTACATTTCTTACTTAAATAAAAAATTTTTCAATTAATTTATATTTGCAATATTGGCAATCACCATCTATTACTTAGATAATTACATACTAACTTTTATATTAAAAAATAATAAATAATTCACTTCTCTTTTCTCATTCTCTTCTCTTTTTGTTTTTTTTTTTTTTGTATGTTGTAATTAATTATTTTGGTTCATACTTCTAACATGGAAATTACATCCTGGATAACTGCTACTAAACAAAAATGTAAAAAAAAAAAATCACAACTAAAACTGTTATACAAAATAAAATTGTGCACAAAAAACAAATAAATTTTCAAATAAAAACAAATTAGAGCTGCGACAATAGTACTGAAAGAAAATAACTGTCACCTATTGAGAGTTGATAAGGAACACTTTAATCGTATTTTAAGGGATGTTGAAGCTAACACATTACGTTTACAGGAGCATGGAAAAGATGTATTAGTTTTGGAAAGAGTTGTCAAACAACGAGGACATTCAGCATTTAAGTACGTTGCTTGTTTAACTTTTTTGCTTTTTTTATTATGCTTATATCAATTACTTTATGCTTTCAAATGGTATAGCTTTTTTGTGTGGTTTTTGTATAACAATTGTGTATAAAATTATATTATAATTTATTAACCCGAATGTATATAAGTATGTATTAAAAATTTGTATATAATATAAAAAATTAAAAGCCGATCCTGATTTCAAAGTTGCATTAATTCACAATATTATTCACATATTTCAACTTGTATTGCAATATTTGCAATATTAATTGTTTAAGAATTAAACTCGTTTGGTATAATTTTTTGTAATCATCTTTTTTATTTCAGCATTTTATTAAAATTAAAGTAGATTTTAACTGAGCTAGGTATTCGTTCGAGACCCAGTTTCATTTTAATTTTTTTTTAAATAGCTATCTACAAAATTTAAAACAAAGTCAAAGTTCAATTTTCATATGTTTTTCCAAAATGTGGTAGCACACAATGACCGCAATTAGCAAATGTGATCTTAATTGTTAAGAAACCTTCGACGATACCTAGCGCACGGGCCTTGCGAGTCAGACTATATACAGCATTACGTTCTTAGAAGAGCCTAGGCTTCTGTGGGACAAGAAACAATGGTCTCTGGTCGCCAAGAGTGCAGTAAGGTCAACCAACCCACGGTCGGGTGGAAGGTCTGGAGAATCTATCACCAGACCAGAGAACCGAGACGCCCTCTCTCCGATGATTTCACTTCTGTGCCTGCCGAAGAATGATATGATTGGAAAATATAAGTTTGAGAAAAACTTCACCTCAAAGCTGGACGACAAAAGTATTTGTAGGTGCGAGTACATCATCAGGTGGTATTCCGACGGGTCGAAAATGCCTTACTCTGGATCGCGGTTAAAGCATGTGTGATATAGCAATAATTAAGCTGCCATAAGAGCTCTGGACTCTTGCCAGATTTCCTCCCGAAGGTTTGAAACTTTTTCGACAAGCTCGAGCGGTTTTGTCAGCGTGACCGAATCACGTTGTATTGGGTGGTAGGACATCTTATGCTTCCGAAACGGAAGACCAATTCCTGTTTTGTTAGACTAGAGCCCGGGGTTTTGGCCAGTTATAGTCGAGGGCGCTTTAAGACAATCATAAGGATGCCCAAGAATCACATGAGAACTCTCACGGGTTTCTTGAAGGGACACTGTAAACTTAAAAAACAACTAAGGAAATTGAGCTTAGGGACGGACGGATATTTCCCTTGAACAAACGCTCGAATTTATCAAAAATTTGAGTCTCGAGTAAATACTCTAACAAGACACTGAGCGTTCGTGGTTCGTATCACAACAGATCTTCTAATCGCCCCATTATACTGCTATCATATATAATATTAGTGCTGTCATGATATGTTAGTTGGACTCAGCAATTTGAATCTAACATATAAAATGAATTAAATTTAAAAAACCTTATTTCTAAAAAACCATGATAACTTTTACTTTGTCATAATTTCAATATAGTATAAAGCTTCTTCGTTCCGTACCTACATTAAATACCGTTTTGATAACCAAGGGTATAGAGCTCGTTCAATAAAATAAAGTCTTTCACGAAAATTTAAAAAATATCAAAATATAAAAATGTAATTGAATACTCATTATAACATTTAATGAAAAGGTCAATAGGTGCCCGCACTCTCGTAACCTTATTCTCTTCGATCGGTGAGTTTCAAAATTTAATTAATAAAATTAAAATGTCCTTTATATTTAATGTAACAAAAGTTCCTTTTAACAAATATTTTTCATGTTTCAAGTATATTTAAACTATAAATTAATTTTTAGCTTTAGAGTTGTTTTATTTGTTCTATAAATGAAATTAAATATTTATTTATGATTGTTTTTTTGTTTGAAATTCAATTTTAAAAGAAAAAGTGTATACAACATAAATTTTTAGGTAAAAGGTCCTTGAAAATTAATCACCTTTCAACTTTCAAATATTTCAGAATAAGATTTTATTTGTTTTTTTTTTTTATTCTATACAAGAATAAATTTACATAGAACTTCATCTACACAAAATTATGTTGTAAAAAGGAGTATGTGCGTTACCTTTATATTATAAAGAATTTAAATTTGAAGAGAAAGATATTCATGTATATACATACATACATATGTACGTATACATGTAATATATTTTGAAGTATGTATTTGAAGGATAATCTTATGCATTTTATAAATAAGAATTATTTTACTTATTACAATTATAAAAAAAAAAAATGTCGAAAAAAATTACTTTTTGAATAAAATTTTCAAAAATTTCTAATTTATATTTATGTATGTATGTATGTAATAAAAAAAGTAATTCGATAAAATGAAGTAAAATTATATTTTTTAAATTGAAAATTCAAAACGACTAAATCTTCAAAATATGTAAATATGTTCTTTTTCAGAATATCATCAATGTGACACTGTAATGTCTATCACGCCAATCACATTTGAAAATGACAGTCATATACAAAAATAGCAACTCTTGTCAGCTGATATTCTAGCTGCTATTTTAAAGTTGTCACTTTTTTTTCTTACCTGTTTTTCCTTTTCTACATCAAAATCAATCATTTTTAACATGAATAAGTCATGAATAAATGCAAAAAAATATCGAAAAACTTGCGTTAGCAGCAAACACTAAAATTCGATTCGCTCGAAAAATATTGAAATACATGACTTTTGCAGATTGTGCGCAAGTGATGTTCTGGGAAAGTGCCTTACTTTTTTTACTCGTTAGGAATCTTAGATTAAACTGTTAGATTAATAATTGTTAGGATAATTGAAACCATACTATTAAAAAAAAATTCAAACCAGTACCATCGTCTATTTGCCACTCATTCTCCCGCATCTTAAATGTTATCAAGTGTTTTTCAAAATTCAGATTTGTAGCCAAATCTGTATCTTAACTGTGATATAAGCAAAACATTTTGTGCTACATACATGTATAGCTTGTCATTATTGTAATGGTATTGTATGGCTCCTGTTATTGTTGTACTTGTCATTATTTTGATAACTGCCTCATATACATATGCAAAAGTATATTTAAATTCATTATCAAAATGCTAAAGCTGACATTATGAATATTTTTGCTTAAATACCAATTATGCACTTAAATGAAATCTAACTATCCTTGATATCTCATTGCACTTTATGATTTGCAAATTGTTTTGTTACAAATTTTCAAATTTAAAAAAAAAAGATTTGTAAAAAAATTATTTATTCATACCCTTTCTTTAATTCAATTGTTTTTTCTTTTACAGGTATACAGTTATGTCGGGAACACCATCAAAAATGTTAGAACATTTATTAGAAACGAGATTAGGTGGACAAGTGGGACCAAATGATCCATTTTTGGATGATTTTTTATTAACACATATTGTTTTTATGCCAGTTCCTCAACTAGTCGATGAATTATATAACTAATATCCTTTTCAAAACAACAATCTAACTAATAAATTTTTAACAAACTTCGCTTTGCCACTGCACTTTCTTCTAAATAAGAATTATTTCCATTTAATATAATAATGTTTTTCAATTTATTTATCAAGCACTTTCAATTTGATTTTTATATACACACATACAAAAGAGACAATTTATTTTCAAATATCCTTTTTCGAATAATTTTGTTACCGCAAATAATTACAAAAAATTTTAATTAAAGTTTACATTTCATTTTCTAAAATGATATTATCACCCTTAATTTTATATCACCGACCAAAAAAAAAAAAAAAATAAATAAAAAAAAAACAAAAACAAAAATTCACTAAATAAAGTACTTTCTCATAACAAGAGGAAATAACACAGAATAAAGGATATTAGGTTAAAAATACATTAAAGTACTCGGTTATAAATGTAATTAAATATAAAGAAATTTTATTAAAAGAATTACTTTCTGAACAACACGAATCTCTGACATAAAAGAGATAAAATATAAAAAAGAATAACGGCGATTAAGATTTATATACATATCCTTATATACATATATATATGTGAATATAGAAAAGAGAAAGAATTAAAATTTTAAAAATCAGATTATAGGATAATCCTCTTTGCATTATGAATGACTACAAGAAGATTTTCAAACGACTCATGAAATTGAAAAAGAAAAATAAAGTTGATTACCTTACAATTTCGTATACGTATACATATACATACACATAAACATATGTACATAGTTATAAGTAAAATGGGAAGCATTTAGAGAGTTTCTTACATTTATATAAATTTTAATTATTTTAATTTCTCATTTGAGAACATGCACTTTTTTGTTATAAAAAAGAAAAATTCATGATTGAAATTAATAATTAATTTGACAGATGTCAACAATATACAGTATGTAATATTTAAAAGCTAAAACCTTGTAAAGTTTCCAACACAATATTTTTAATTACGGGTAAATATAAATTAAATTTAAATATTTTTAATAATTTTTAGTTAAATTTGAATTTATTTTAATTTTTTTTAATTAATTTTATTATTTTTGTCATTATTTAGAATGTGTGTTAATTACACATCCAGGTTGTGAAACTTTTAGAGGGTTTTAGTAAATTTATAGTGGCCATTATAGAATTTTTCAAATTCAATCAAGTTTTGCCTGTTAGAGCCCTATCTGGACATGCAATTCTTAGTTAATTTTTAGTTTTGTAATGTCGAAATCAACTTAAACAATTTAGATTTTAGAGCAAAAAACTAAATTATTTTATTTAATTATTATATATTTAAATTTCATTGAAAGGTATTTACATTTTATGTGTAAATATTATTAAATTTATGAAATTATTATAATTTCCAAATTATTAAATTTTGATATTAAATTAAAATTTTCATTGATCAGTAATTTCTAAAGTAAAATTACGAAAAAATATCAAAATTGACAGAATAATTTAAAGCAATTCAATGTTGAATACTGCAAAAAAATAAAAATGAACAAAAAAAACAAAGCACAAAAAAAAAAGCAAAAGCGTATTGAAATCAAAAATTATTTCCAATCGAATGAAGCTCAATCTTTTACAAGAATATACACAAAAAAAAAAAAAAACAAAAAATTCATTCTTCCCCATAGTGGTCTCTTTAACATTGTTTTTTAAAGAATATTTCAAATATAAAAATTTATATGTATAAGATTTGTGATTTATTGATTTTCTTTTATTGTTTAAATCATTTTCGAAAACAATTTGACAGACAAATTTATTGAACAGATTGTTAATTTGATAAAATTGTCAAAATACAAACGATTAATTACTATTAAATTTTTGACAAAATGTCAAGTGCCTATTGTTGCTATTAAAAATTTTGCAAATACGTAATTTATTTTTTTTGTTTGCTTTTGAAAATCAATGGTTATAAATTTTTTTTTTAACTGACCTTTATCTCTTGTTCTTGTCTATTTCCTATAATTTCGAAATTATTATTTTATTCATTGATTTCGATGTTCCGTGATTGATTCAAAAATTGGTTCCGTAATGCATTTTATAAATAACAAATTTTTTTGAGTTTATTAAATTTGTAATTTTCCTAAAATAATAAATTGATTAGCTTACAATAAAATTTAATTAATGAACCAATTATTTGCTTGAATTACGGTATTAAATAGAAATAACATCTTGAAATTATTCTTATGTTCAAAGAGAAGTACATACACTCTTTTTGACATTTCAAAGGATTTTTTCTTAAAAACACAATATTTATATGTACATATGTACATCCCTATCTTAAACACATTTAAAATTCATATTATAGAATTCATAGAAAACTTATGAAAAATTTTAATAAATTTTACTAATAAAAGAACGAAGAATGAAAAAAAAATACCTTAAATATGCATGATTTTACTCCATCTTTTTAATCGGGTATTATACAATAAATTCTCTCGCATAAATTTAACTCATAAAATACATTAGGATAATCATTTAATCTTGATGAGCTTTAAGTTATACATATATATATAATATACGTTAATACACACATGCTGTATAATGTATGTATGCCTTAAAGAATATAAAAAAGATATAACAAGAAAAAAAAATAATAATATAAAAAATAAAATCTATTATACCATTATAAAATCCTTATTTTTCATATTATTATTTTCATTCAACATGTGCCATATGGTTTAATCGTTTACAATGTACATATACAAAATATTTTCTCTAATATTTTCTTTCTCTTTTCAATTTATGTTTATGCTTTATAAATCTTCTACTTTAAATTTTTCTCATACATAGTCTTCTCATACCATACATCCTACTACTACTCTTTATAACATTTTGAATTTTACTCGTACATTACGTACGTATATAATGTGTACGTAATTCAAATAAATAAGAACGTACATATACATAAGAAGTACTTATGGCAAAATACGTACGTAAAGCAAAAAAAAAATTAGTGGCTTTAATGTTTTTTCTTGTATAACATCTATTTGTATCTGCAATTATCTTTTCTCTTATATACATACATACATATGTACAAATGTAATAAAAAGCAAAGGTTTAAAAAAAAATGATTTTATGAAACCTAACAGAAAAAAAATGTAAATTACAATGTTGGTAATAGACCGTTTTTAGAATCTGAAAGAAAACAAGTAAAAACCTAGACAGTGTTTTTGTTATAGAAGGACGTGATTATTGTGAAAATTTTTTGATCATGCTAACAAAATAAAGAAAAAAGACTTGTTGGAAATTATTAAATTACTGATAAATACAAGTGAGTAGAGTTTTTGTCAACTATAGTTGTCAAAAATATCGTTTTTCCGTATTATGACTGTCAACTATATAATTAGAAATTTTGTTTTTGTTTTTTTTTTTTAATTTGATAGCCTTTGAAGTTTTAACAATAAAAAAGTATTTAAAAATTTTCATTGACAGTTTAAAGGAATGACGTTTAATACACTAAGTTTATAATAAACAATTAACTAAACAATAAATTTATTTATGTTGGTAAATAATGAAACTCTAATTGAAAATATCACTAGATTTACTAACCATATGTTCTACATTTAGAACGACGCTACATTGATAATATCATTTTACGTAATGGCTTTCTAGTCAAATTTATAATCTTGATCGGTATTATATTTTAAAATTTTTATTATCAGTAAATTGTGTGGCTAATAGTCTGCTTGGTAAACTTAGTATCCAATAAAGTGCTTTCGATTAATATTTACAATCAATAAAATTTATAAAAAAAAAACAAGATTTTCCTTAACCTCGTTGCACCTTTCATTGTGGCGGTGAAGGCGCTGAAACACCCGAAGATCGGGAATATATTATTTCATTTCGAAAACGTGTAGTACTTTTTGTACAAAAATGGGTAATAGCAGTTCGACATGTAGTGTTTGATGATCCAACAGCCTGTGATTTTATTGAAGTAAGTATATACATATGTATATTAAATTAATGAAAATTACATATGTATGTATTTTTAATAGTTCACATACTGTGTATATCTCCAATCAAATATGTATTATGTATTTTTACGGTATAGCACAACTCAAAAATCGTAAAGTTTCAGTTATAAGTTTCACATTATTTTCTATTGAAAGTCTAATTTTTTCTATAATTGCAAAAGTTACTTTTTATTTTTATTGCTTTTTAAGTAACAAATTTAATAAATAGTCTTCTATACATAGACTTTGCAATTAGTTTTTCTTAATGTCTGATAAAAGTAACTTTTTTGAATTTTGTTACTTTAAAAATATTTATGTAATAGACGAACATAAATACATACATATGTACATGCATATTATGCTTACGACCGCAATATTTAAAGTACATACAAACATAATCGTTTTACATTAAGATTGGATGATTTTTTAAGTGTCTGGTTTTTAAATTATAAAAGAAAAGTAAAGAAATTAAAGAAAAAACTGTAACTTCATATCATTTGGATCGATAAATTAGTTATTGTCGTTTATTTATTTAATGTAAACCCCTGTTAATGTGGGTTAAAATATAATGTTTTAAGCTTTTTCCGAAATTTCGTTAATTGATCACTATTATAAAGTTGTACTTGATGCCGAGACGTTATAGATAAGACATGAATCCGAACAAAAATAAACTAGAAACAATAAATTCCGCAATGTCGGTGTCTAATTTGTAAATCGATTAATTGTAATTAAATACTCACCGAGTACTTCATTAATTTAAAAATTTCTATTATTGAATGATTAGAAGGCTTTATTCATGTACGATAATGAAAAGGAAAATAAAATCGAGTTGGCTTCTCGTTGACAATTGTAAAGAATCACGTGTTAAATGTCAAAATAACACAAAAAATAAACATCAAAAAAATCACCCATTATAAGAAATAAAAAAAAATATTGTTTTTTTTATTATATTCGTAAAATTATCTACAAAAGGATTTAGCACAAGAAGTTGAAGCTGATCCTGAATTACATGAAGAAACTAGTATAATACATCACGTATTATCACAATTATCGAGATATCAGGACGATAGAAATCAGCATTGTGGACAAAAGTGGAAATTACCACCAAACGGACAACCAATATGCTTATTCAGCGGTAATCCAACATCATCTAGAGTGGTTATAAGACCAGATGATGATAGTAAGTATAACATTATGCTATTGTGTTTTTTTATCCAATTTTTTTATTTTTTTTTGTATACAAAGACATTGTAGTAATACATTCGAATTATATATAAGATTCGAATAATAAAATGGTATTAACAATAAAAGATTTTCTTATATTTATATAACAAATTAAATTTACTCTGAATGTTGTTGCCTTCAATGCTATAAATATATTTTTTTCTTTCTTACGTAGGCAAATATTGTTTATCGTGTGAGGGCATACGTATACTAACGTGTATCATATGAAAGTATTCTTTGAGAATATTTGAGGAGTTATATACCTACGTACATACTTATGTACGTATGATGTAATTCGCATTATTTGATCAATCGTTGAAAATGATACACGTAATTGAAATATGTATCAATACCTTATAAAAGACGTGATATTAACATTTTGTATATATGAACCAGTTATTTTTACATTTTATTTGTATAAAACATTACGATTCGCAAATATTTATTATATTAACGTTTATTTGTTAACCCAACAATACTGTAATTTGAAATATTAGGTTAAATTTTTTGTTTCATCATCATTTTGCACGATGATATCAGGTGCAATAATATGAGGATTAATATTTGACACATACAAACGATTTAACACTTAAAATTTAAAGTGGAATTTTTAAGAGGATATTAACGACATCTATACTCGTATATGTGTAGCAATAAAACCAAACTGTGTATGGAACACTTAATATTTTCAAGAATTACAAATTTAAAGTTATTTCCAAAAAATTAAGGAATTTTTGAATTTAGTGTCTTAGTTCTACTGTTCATGCTCTTAATTTTATAATTTAGACGCGAAATTATTATACTAATTTCTTAGTAAATCAATGCAATGATTTCCATGCAGAGAATTGCATATTTGTACTATTATTCAAAAATACACAATACGCTTCATTCACTAAAATAAATAAATTTTTCTTTTTCTCAGTCATTTTTCGAGTTTATTGTGCTGATCATACATATTGCACTTTAAGATTCCCATTACATACAACAGCTGAAATAATTAAAGCATGTGCAGCTGATAAATTACAATTAAATCGTGGACCAGAAGATTTAATTTTAGTTGAAGTAAAATCAAATGGTGAACGTTCCGTTTTTAAAGATACAGATGTCAGTATACCAACTGGTTTAACATTAAATGGTCGTTTATTTGTTTCAGTTAAGGATCATTTAGATGCATTGGTAATTATTATGATAACTTTTGATAGAAAATTTAAAAGAGAAATTTATATTTTATATTAAAGTTATTTATTTAATTTATTTAATTTTTCCTTATCTCCCACAAAAAAATTTTAGACACCATTACCTGAACAAGAAGGTGCCACTGAGGGTATTGATATCGATATCGAAATATTGAGTACCAAAGAATTAGCTTATCATATAACCTTATTTGATTGGGATCTTTTTTGGGCTGTTCATGAATATGAATTATTGTATCACACATTTGGAAGACATCATTTCGGAAAGGTAAATATTAGAGAAGTATATATTTTATATACATACAATAATCAACCTTTTTAATATCTTAAAAAATTGGAGGTAGGGCTATGTAGTCTGTATATTCAGCGTTTTCAAGTATATTCGTGAAAATTCACTTAATATCCCTGGCAGCAGTTGACGTCGAACACCACGTTGAACGGGAGAGGAAAGAAAGGTCTTTTATCCTTGCTTTAATCCGGCTCCCAATCTTATTGAGTTTACATCATTGGTCAGAATAAACCATATAAATGCAAAAATATATTTTTAAACCAGTAATTACGCTAAGATAAAAAATTTTTCTTATATAACTGACCTCTAATTTTTTAATATGCAAACTAATCGTGCTCTTCCATCAGACTATAAACAACGTTATTGTTGAAATGTCACTTTCTAAATAGTATAATATTTAGCCAGACCTTCCATTTTATCTATAGAAAAGAAACATTAACAAAAAAAAAGCATTAAAAACATTTTTTAAAGTTTAAATAGACAAAAAAAAAGCAGTATAAAGAAAATTTATTTTCCCATCATACAAACATTATCAACTTATAAGCAAGGAAAAAGTTTTATTTTTTGATGAATCCTTTTTATATATGTATATTGTGCTTCACAAAAAAAAAATATTTTTCTACACAGTTTATTAAACATAAACAAGGATATTATTATCAAAACAATCTATATTAGTTATGAACATCTTCTTATTCCTTTTTCTAAGCATTAAACATCCATTTCTATAAAATTTAATATTGTTTTTAAATTTTTATATTATTTTTTTCTTTTATATCAATTTAAATATACAAAAAAAAAATATGAAAAGGAACTGAACTGCTCAACTGTGACAGTTACCCTTGAATCAGATAAAAATACAAATTACGTATTTAAAGAAAAAAAAAATCGATATATTTTCCATACCATTCAGAGGAACAAAACATGATACACACATTGCGGTAAATGAGTTGATAGAAAACATAAAACAGTAAGAAAAAAAAAATCCACCCATTAGAGAAGAAAATTTTTCTCTTTTAGTACAAGAACGCTTGAATTAGTTTTTACTTTTGTATTTTTTTTTTTGTTGCTTTTCTTTACGGATTAGTTATTCAAATGTTCCATATTATATGTACCGAATATCAACTACAATATAGAAAAATATAATAATAATTAAGAATACACAAGATCTCTCCTCTATATAAAATTCTTAAATCATTAATCAAATTGACATAATCAAAAAAATAGAAGAAGATATTGCACAAATACCGCAAGTCTTTAAGATAAATTACAAGTTATATATGTATGTATGTGTATGTAGAGAAAGCCTTATATCAACTTGGTATTCTTATAAAATGAAAGTAATTAAAATATTATGTTAGAAAGAATTTTTCTCATCGGAAAATATGTTAAAAAAATGTTTTTTTTTTATAACTTTTATCTTTGACGGCGCCTTGAAAAACACAATATTCTTTTTTCATTAAATTTCCAATAATGTTGAATTTTATAATAAATGGCAAATTTATAAGTAAAAAGTCAATATTTTCTTGAAAAAGCTGAAATGAGTAATCACTACAAGTAGAAGAAATTCTTTAAGAAAAAGTTTTTTTACATAAGTCTTTTGTTTTTAATGAAAAAGTACGAAAAATTGAAAGAATTCAGAAAATAAAATGCTCAGTGACAGCTTTTGAAGTAGCATTCCGAATAAATTCCGGACATAACCGGAGTAAAAATGAAAAAGTATATCTAGGTATAATAATAAATTTACTGAATTATAAAAAATTTAGGCCTTAATGAAGTTAATAGTGATTAACATAAAAAGTACTTACCTTAAAACATGAAAATTCTTTTGATATATTCAAGACGATCAAAGGATAGCACCTCCTATATTAGAGTTCTGTTAAAACTCTGTTATAAGGGAATACGAAAGAGTTTTGCTCTCCAATATATAACAATTTTCATATAATTAACCATCGGTACGGCACAACCTGTATGATCAAATAATAACGGCATCAACATATTTCAATATATATATACATACATACATATGTATGCAGTATGTAAAAATTTAAATAAAAATAGTTTAGTGTGAAATATTTTCAATTCTTTATAATAAATTAAATTTTTAAAAGAAAAAAGACATTTTATAAAATATTTATAAAGTACAACACGTAGGCGACATTTAAATAATAAAAAACATTCAAGTTTAATAATAGAATTTAAACACTTCACTTATTAAATAATGGGCGAATCTTAATATGTTAAAAAAGAGAAGGATATAATAACAATAACATTACATTACATTTTAACGAGCTTCATATTATGTCAATAATTAATGTCAACACTATATTTTTTTTCTCTCTCTCTCTCTCTCAATTTAGATAACTGCAAATTTAGATGTATTCATTCGAAGATTTAATGAGATTCAATATTGGGTAGTGACCGAAATTGTTTCAACGGCTAGTATGAGTAAACGTGTTGGTCTTTTAAGAAAATTTATAAAATTAGCTGCTTAGTAAGTTTTACTACATATTTTTCACTTTATTTGAATAAATTTACGTTAATTATGTTTTATATAAAAAAAACAAATACATACATACATATATATTTATAGCTGTAAAGAATATCAAAATTTAAATGCATTCTTTGCTGTTGTTATGGGATTATCAAATATGGCATGTTCACGTCTAACACAAACATGGGATAAATTACCATCAAAATTTCGTAAATTATATCAAGAGTTTGAAGCACTTATTGATCCAAGTCGTAATCATCGTGCATATAGAGTATTTGTTGGTAAATTACAACCACCAGTAATTCCATTTATGCCACTATTATTAAAGGATATGACATTTGCACATGAAGGTAATAAAACAAGTCTAGATGGTTTAGTTAATTTTGAAAAAATGCATATGATGGCGCAAACAATGAGAACAATAAGATTTTGTAGATCTCGACATCTAGGTAAGTGAAATTAAATAATAATATAAAATTTTAATTTATACAATTCAGGATTCCAATTTTTCGTTACTAATACTAGCCAATTTTTCGTTACTAATATTAATATTCCTAATATTGAGTTTCGAAGGCGATTGTAATCTAATCAAATGTTATAATAGTTGTTGACTACTTTCACAATATTAAAATTTCCAATTACGTGATGAATAAAATATTTTTCTATTTATTAAAAACAAATAGTTTTGGATCCACCGTCACCAAAAAGCGAAGGAGAAGTTCGTTCATATATTAGCTGTTTGCGTGTAATTGATAACCAAAGGACATTAACTGCAATGTCACAAAAAATTGAACCATCAAGAAAAATGAACAACATAAATTAAATTAAATAAGAAAATAATTTCTTATGGAAATTTTAAAATTAAAACCAAATAAATTTTATCAAAAATAATTACAAAAAAGGAAAACAATTTTAAATATAGTTTTAGGGTAATAAAATTAATTTAATGCAAAATTTTTAATTTATTAAAATAAATTTCGTCTTAATAATTTTATATTATTATATAAGTATGTATACTATAATTATATAGATAATTTTAGATGTAATTATTATACAAAAATATTAATTGTTGTAATTTGTTTTTTGGTTCTAAAATTTCAATATTTTTTTGATGTTTTTTTTTTTTTCATTTTTATTCTTTTATAATATTTAATTATTAATTTTATATACCATAATTGAAAATTTTTATCTATTATATGTGATATATATAAATACATACATAGGTATATATTATGTATGTATGTATAAATAAATAAACATTGAAATAATTTTCAATTTTGACAATTGCGACAATTGTAATTTATTTTTGAAGCTTATTTTTTAATTTAAATTATTTAAGTAAATTTGTCATTTAATTGTTTTTGTTTTATTTCTTTTAGCTTAAGAGAAAAATTAAATTTTAGAAAATTTTACATAAGAAACAAGAAATTTCTTATTTAACTTTAAAAGAAAAAAAGGCAAACAAAATTCATAAAAAACCAATTAATTTGTCTAGAGATTTTTATTATAGCAAAAATTTTGTACACTACTTGTACTGTGGACATTTATATTCATTTAATTTAAAAAATGCAAAGTTTTCTTATTCTTAATTTAAAGTATTACAAATCCTGTGACCTTATTATGTAATTCGATTTTCGTGAAACGATCTTCATCTTCGAAAAAATGGAAAGGTAGCACCAATCAATTCGTATAGTACCTACTTTTCCATTTCTGCAAATTCCAAAATCAAATTACATAGTAAAACCTCTGGTTTACTTACTGCATATAATCGTGAAATTTTGACAATGAATTGAAATTTTGACATTCATTAACTTGAAACTTGCAACTTTTGTAAGGCATACGGATTAGTTTCGTATAAGTTTTCTTAAAATTTAAATATTACAGTTACCGAATTTTTAGCCAAAATTGAACTAAATCAAAAATTAACAACCCGGAATCATAATGTCAAAAATTTTGAATAGCTGTGACATTAAATTCGAGGTGAATTCACCAAAAATTCACCTTAATTTTTTAATATATATCAGTATACAAATATAATTTTATTTTTCAACAATATTGAACAACATTATGCATATTTACACAGAAAAAAAAATTATTTTGTAAATGTCAAATGTTTTATTTAATTTATTTTTCTCACATTTTTTTTTGTTAACGTACAAATTATGACACAGGCCGGTATATGTAAATCTTCATAGTCTATATTAAGGTGAGTTCGGGACGAAAATGGCAACCATATTATAAAATTCTAAAAAGAAATTTAATATTTAATTATTTTAATATTTACTAACAAATATATTAAATAATATAATTTACAATGATTATATTAAATTATTAAATTTTTCTTTTCCGAATTTCATTATTTTCACCATAATCACTCAATTATAATAAACAAAAATTTATAAGTACAAAATAAAATTTTCCTAAAAGCTTTGAAATTTTTAAAAAATTAATAATAACAATAGTTAAGACGTTTTTGTTATTCTTTTTTTTTTTTTTATAAAATTTTAGAACAAAATCTTTGTACTGCGATATACAAAATTTATTAATTTTTAAGGAATTAATTTTTTTTACAAAATCATTTTCATTGTTTTCTACATTTCATAAAACATATAACCCTGGGATGACACAGGAGAATAATTGTATTCAATATTTCAAGAGACCTATTGACATTTGATATAATTCTATGGAGCACAAACAAGTGTTTTTAATTTGGATAAAAGTTTAATATAATATGTTAACTCTCTTAAAAATTACTTAACTCACTTAACTTAACAATTACTCTCTTGCATCATTCCTATATTGAAGTAAAAAATTAAACTTTTGATATCTATTTATTTTTTTTATAAAATTCATTTTTTTCATAAAAAATTTCCAGCGAATTTTTCTTAAAAAATCATTTCCATAATTATTGTTATCAACACTTTTTATTTGAATGTGTTTAATCAATAGAGCCGTAAAATGATTAAAAAAAATATTTACTAAACAACTCACTGCCCCCTTTTTTTGATTACAGTGTTGATAATAATAAAAATAATTTTTTGATTAATATTGTCAAAAAAAAAAACACAAAAAAATTGATAAGAAACTAAATGCAAATCTAATGTCAATTTATTTTGACTACCCGTGGCAATTTTTATCGGAATTGCAGCAACAAATTGTTACAACAAAATTCAGCTAAACTTGGAAGTATTAGGACATCTAACAAAATGAAGATTTAATGTTAATTTTGACTTATTCAGCAATACAATTTCAATAGCTGAATAAGTCAAATTGACAGCAAATCTGCATTTTGGTAAACACCCTCTTATACAATATTTATACGGTAATAAAAATTATATCGCTTAAAATCAAATTGATTTTAGATCTGCATTTAAGTTTAAACGCTCAAAATTTATTGGACTCTACATTCAAATATAGTTCTACTAAATTCTATAAACTAAACAATAAGCTTTATTTGTAACTTCTAGGGAAAATGACAATTTAAAAATTTGTTCTATTTAGGAAAAAAAAACGCATATCTTTATTAAATACAAATATGTATATTGTATAAAAAAAACGAACTCTTATTATTCTTACTCAAACCAATTTTCTTTGTTTTTGCAACAAAAGAAAAATGAAAACTCAAACAGACTCTTTGTATAATGGTATTTAAAAATTTATTTTGATAAACCTTCTTATATAAACAAAATATCTAACTTCAAAATTATGTTGAAACGGCATTAAAGCAAATTTTAGCTAAGACACAATTCAGCTTATGATTTGTAATTACTGAATTGTGCAGCAATAAAGTATTACCACAATTTTGAAGTTAGTTAATGGAATATGTTGCGGAATTTATGACAACGTTGAATAAATACGAAATTATATGTACACTAACAATTTACTATTTTACTATATAATAATATTTCTAAATTTTAAGTTTCAAAATCTATTTTATAAAAATATCTTTGAAAATACTTTTAAGCACAAAAAATTATATAAATTTAAAACAAAAAAAAAAAAAACAAACAATGTCTTATGAAAAATTTTAATAAGGTAAGGAAAAAAATATTATAAATTGACGAGAAAATATTGTATAAACGTTTGTTTGATAGAAAACTAAAATAAGAAGAAAGATTTCAGTTTCAAATAAAAATTTAATTTTAAATTTTAAAAATACATAAAAAAATTAGAAAATAATGCTATCGATTGTTCTATGTAAAAATTTGTTTTTTTTTATTAATATGAATTTTGACATAATATTTAAGATAATATTTATTTTTCTGTATTATATAATAAATAATACCTGATTTTAAAATTACAGTAATACGGTATTAATAAAAAAATTCAGCTTATGAGTTGTAATTGCTGAATTATGCATTAATACAGTATCAGTGCAATTCTGAAGTCATGGAATTTTTATCTGTCAACTTTAAATATATTGGTATGATCACGTCAAATCCGTTGACAGGCTCATTAATTTCATTTGTTAAACATTTTTAAGTAACATTATTAACACTATTGTACATGAAATTTTAAATAAATTTAAGCATGAAATTTTATAACAAATATAAAGATTACATAGAACAACCACATGAGAACACATCTAATTTCAACTATAGAAATACAAATAAATAAAAATAATTTGTCGTTTTGATGTTAAAAAATATAATTACATATTATATTTTAAAAATAATTTATGTATAAATAAAATAAAATAAAGTTAAATTATATTGTATAACAATAGAATAGAAAATGTAGAAAAAAATTATATATTATTACTATACATGAATATGAAAAACTTAAAATTTTAAAAACTGTTCGAAAAGAATAAGGTAACACTCTAGAAAAATATGAAAAAATAAAAACAAAGTAAACAAACCGTTATTAGAAAATTTATGTAAAATAGATGGGAATAAATTTTTATTTTCGTAACACAGTTGAAAAACACAAAACTAAATAATTTCTTCTTCTTTACTTTACCTAAATTACCCGTACATATACAGGATGATTAATAAAAAAAACATCGAAGAACACATAATCATTGTATACAATGTAATTTTTCACTCGAGTTTCGAATATATTCTTTTCTTTTCATATTATATGTGAGATGACTTCATGAAATGAAAATATGTATTTTGTGTTTCTGACACCTCAGTTTTACAATAACCTCAAAATGAAAGTTTTAAGAAGCGTATTAATAGTTGGTAACGTATTGGCGCAAATTCTCATCCTGTATAAATAAAAATTCTGAAATCCAAAATACAATATATCTATATAATTTAATTATTATTCCAGTCTTGGAATTATTAACAATACAAAATTTACATAATTTGAACAAGCAAAATTTAAAATTGGGAATTGATTTGCCAATTACCGAATTTACAAAGAAACTTGAAATATTTAGTCAAATGATAGTACTGCGATACTTAAAAATATTGTGATAACAACTAGAACCCATATTGACACTAAATTGACATAAACTATATGCTAACAAAATCACAAAGTTTACGTTCAGTTAATCTTCAAATGTCAAGTTTGTGTTCGAATTCGATCATTTTAAATTTTAAAATAAATTTCCCGAAAATAAAGAATGTAATATTTATGTTGTTGCATCTTGGATTTCAGAGCTATATGTATTAATATTGTTCCTATAACATTTACACCTTTATTTATTAAAAAAATAATAGAATTATTTTATCTTCTTAATGAAAAAATTATATAACAAAATAAAATAAATGTCATTAATGTAATAACACTTTATAAATGATCCAATGAGTGAATCAATCTGAACTAGGGAATCAAACAAGAAAAAACACCATTTACTTAAAATAAAATTAAAATTTTACAAAAAAAAAAATAATTAATAAATAAAATTAAATAAAAAAATTTTTAAATTTAAATATTTTAAATTTTGATGGTGCAATCAATTACAAAAAAAAAGCAAATATATAATTATAAATTAAAAAAATATTTATGTAAAATGTAAATAAACGTTTTAAATTCGGTTTCTACTATAATA